GGTTCAGAAAATCATAACGGTTCATTCCGGTTTTGCGGTTCGGTTCGAACCCCTGTCCCGGATAGTTATGATCCCTTTAAAAATTACGACATATGTATGATGAAAAAAAAACATAAAGAATTGTTAAAAAATGGACCTAAATTTATAAATTATTTTTTAAAAATACAAAAGAATTATCAAAAATGAGAAGAAATAAAATTGAGAAAAGATATAGTAAGAAAAATAAATTGAGAAAAGATATAAATAAAGTAAAGAAATCGCAAAAAGTTAGAAATAAAATAAGAAGGAATGACAAAAATAAAATAAGAAGGAATGACAAAAATAAATAAAAATTTAAGAAAAATTTATAATTTACGATTTTCCTTTTCATAATGGGAATTTTCCTTTTTTGATAGACATTTTTCCTTTTTGATTGACATTTTTCCTTTTTTGATTTGACCTTTTCCTTTTTTGTTTGACACTTTTCCTTTTTTGATCGGACTTTTTCCTTTCTTTTTGGGAATTTTCCTTTTTTGATTGACACTTTTCCTTTTTTATTTGGATTTTGATTGAACCTTTTCCTTTTATGATTGACCCTTTTCCTTTTATGATTAAAAATTTTCCTTTTTTGAAGGGGAAACCCTGTATATTCACTTTGCATCTCATTCGTTGAATTAGCAATATCCGATTCATGTGCTCTACCTTCTATATGCAATGCCATTGGTATTTTAACTAATAAAATTGATATAATATATTTTTAGCCATTATATCCAAAATTTATGATTTTTTAAAATATCCGAAGCGGTCAGATGTTTTAAATCGAATTATATCAATGAATAAACCAGAAACCCATCATTAAAAATTAAAAAATATGTGCCTTATGTTGTGATTGCATTATTTTGATTTGCACTTATTTAAGATCTTGTGTATGAATTTGAATATTTACGGAAAATAGTTTTTTTTATATAAAATTGAATATTTGCAAATTTGCATGATATTTTTAATAAACTAACTTAATACATAAAAAAAAATATTTGAATAAGGATTTAAAGTTGATATAATCCAATGAAATTTAATTTATTATGTTATAATCGGATGATGTTAATTTTATAATTTAAAGAGATTGGAACTTTTTTAACTTTTGGTCTAATCTCCCAATACCAAATTCTTTCAACTGTGACACCCTACGCGATGGGGTTATACGTCATGATTCAGTTTCGGCACTTAGAACTAGAAGAGATTATCAGAATATCTTTACATGAAATTACTAAATGGCAAGATAGTAATGTGTTCAGAAGCGATATATTATTAAATTCAATAGAACAATCAGAGTTATTCTTTGCTGCTAGTTGCATTAATAAATTATTTTCCTATAGCTCACTATTTTGTAGAAATATACAAAAACCAAATTTCGATTTGGTTCAGGTTATTGATTTGGGGAAAATTTATATGAACAGATAAATACAATAAGAATAAATGTAGATGAATATTTTTATAATATTTATCTAGACGTTGAAAGAAAGCGAAATCTTATGATATAACACTAATTAAACCTCGTCTAGCACTTAGGCAATTATTGAGTTGTAATATTAATGTTGACTCAACTGAAGAATATTATAAAATATCCATTTTCATCCCATTCTTAGATACTTTTATATCGCAAATAAAAATACTGTTTTTAGATTTAAAACAAGCCTTTAGTAATCTTCAAATTTTATTATCTAAAGACCCTTCTTCGTTTTCTGATGCCACTATTGGTAAAATTAAATATTTAGCAAAATTTTATCATTGATATTGATACTGAAATCAATATAATCAGTGAATTTGAATTGTGGTATAAATATTTACTACGTTTGGTTATTTTATCTGAACATGCTATTACTGCGCTCAATCGGTGTAAGGAAACATTGGCTCAATTTCCAAATATTTTAAAGTTGTTATATTCTTGTATGTTTGCCTATTACAACATGTACGAATGAAATAACCTTTTCTAACTTGTGAAAGTTAAAAACTTATTTATGAAATACTACGAATCTCGGCTAAATGGGTTAGCTCTGTTAAATATCCATAGAGATTTGGTTCCAACGACAAACGAAATTTTTGTGAATTGGCAAATTTCTCACGAAAATTAAAAAATACATTATAATTATAGTATTTAATAAAAAATTTTTATAATATTGTAATTGATAAGAAGTTATAAAAACCTGATTATTAATTTCTAGTAAATATTTTATACACACTACAATTAGTATTTTGAAAATTTTTTTTATTCTACTTATATTGTATGAGAATTTAAGAGCGAAGTCCCTCAAAAAAATTTCCCACTTTATAGGAAATCCTGGATACGCCACTGACGTAACGTTTGTTTTTCCATATTTATACATAACATTGTGATTGGAATAGCAGTTCCATGTGGAAATCAGCAGGAAGATCCAAGTCCTCAAAATTCAAGACCAGGATATCATTTAATAATACCATGCCCTGGGTGGAACAGTCTATATGACGTACTCTTAATTAGTGAAGGTCAAGGCGCTGTCTTTGGACCTAACCGATACACTCGTACAGGACCACGGTTCTTAAAAAAAATCGATCCAGGCAGTGGTCATCGGTCTTTTTATTTTTTTGTTATTTTAAAAATATTTTCTACCTAATATAATTCTTGTTTATGCGGAGGAACTATAAGTAAAGTGATTCTTTGACAAACTTATCTAAAAATTCATAAAAACTAAAATGGCATCTCTGGAAAAATAAACAAAAAAATTATATTGATTGAATAGTAAAGCAAACTCAAATATCAACAAAACACTGGTCAGGACCGTCAAAAAAACTTTATCCTCAAAAAAGATCAGGACCGTCGACTTTCATTACTTTTGATGCTGCTTTCTAAAAAATTTAAACTTTAAAGCCTATTAATAAAACTAGATCTTCCCCATCTAGACAAAAGCTCATGTGTTGAGAAATATTGAGCACTTTTTTCGTTAGGTTATTTTCATATGATTTTTTTAAAGTTTTCACATCACGATTTCATATGGCCTTTTTTGAATAAATTTTTTTTATATTTTTTAAATCATGATTCATTTGCAAAGGTTTAGAAATAAGCCAAAGAATTATTGGGGTAAATTATTATCAAAATTGCTTTTTAATTTTGTTTTTAATGTAAATTACTAGTATTTTTCAGCATTAATTTAAGGAACAAGAAGAGTAAAATTTTCCATTCTTAATAATTTAATTTAGGCTTATATTGATACAAGATCTTCCAAATCATTTTGGCTTAATATTGTATTCTAAATAATAAATAGACAAAATTGCCTTATTTAGTCATTCCTCTCCTAAATTTTTAACTGTTTATGATTAAAATAATTTTGCCAGATATTTATTTTGCACTCATATACAATTAAATGCAATATAAATTAATACGATAAATCAAGAAAGTTGACACAAAATATAAGTAAGCACTTAAAATAATTTGATGTATAATGCATATGTTTTTTAAAGTAAATTAGTAAAATATTTTCACTGCATTTCCATTCTTTATAATTTTAATTTAGGCTAATTAATTTGACATAATATTGTACTATTGTTAAATACATTCAATAAATTTTAGATAGACAATGATTATCAAAATGAACTAGCAACCAGCAGGTATCCATAAACTTTCAACAGAAAATCTTAAACACTAACCTCAAAATGTTAGAACGCCTTTATATAACAGCAATAAATGGTGTCATATAAAGTTATTTTATTTTTTTATTCAACACGCTTGTTTTTTTTTCTTTAACAAATAAATATTAAAAAAAAGTTGTTTATTATTTTTTTTTAATAAATTTTTTTTTACGTGTTTTTTTTATCTAATGGAAAAAATATTGTTTTATTATTTAATAAATTGAAAATGATGGGTTCGGTTCATCCGGTGGTAAATATTATTTTATTTTAATCATATTTATTTACAGATATAACTTACATTAAAGAAATTAAGCTTAAAATCAGCCATCACCCACCTTTAAAGTAATTAAATTATACTGTAGTTCTCGGGTATAGGCTTTTTCTTTGTCCCACTCCTAAATTAAAGCCTATAGAGGTTTAAGCAACATTTTTCGAAATGTTGTGCCTACAAGTACGTGCGGCTTGCCCACAAACGTGTGGAGGGCTCCTCATATTTTTATTTTTATATCCAAATTAAATTGTTCCAATTAGATGGAAATGAGGAAAACCTAGCGTAGCTCTGTTGAATCTTCAACGTTAGAGGGCAAAAGCGCTATATATCACGTATCACTAGTGTTTGCAACGGTCCGGTCCGGTCTTTTTTTTCTAAAATGGGATCGGACCGATGGACCGTTAAGTCAAATGAGACCAGACCGTCGGTCCGGTCCAGGCGGTCCGGTCCCACCTAAAAAAATTTTTTTTATAAAGCTACAAAAGTTTTATTCTGCATTTAAATTTATTAAAAATGAATAGTTAAATTACCCTATTAATATTTCAATTATATCATCAATTCATTTTTATTATATTATACACAAATGCCTAATCAAAGAAGAATATAAAAAGTAAACTATGAATATTGAATTTAATGAAACGGAAGAATATAAAAAGTAAACGATGAATTCGATATTATATAGTGTTAGGCATTAAATAATCATATTTTATATGTTCATGGACATACACATTAACTATAAAGCAATTTATAGTAAACTTTTATATTCTTTAATCGGTCTTCGGTCGGACCGGACCGTGGGACCGTGTTGTTGGACGGGACCGTCCCATAGGACCGAAAAGTCTAATAAGACCGGACCGGACCGGACTGTTGCAAACACTATATCACGTATTTAATAAATTTTTTAAATAAAATTTTTTTTTACGTATTTTTTTTATCTAATGGAAAAAAATATTGATGCTTTTATTATTTAATAAATTTTTTAAATAAAATTTTTTTTTACGTATTTTTTTTATCTAATGGAAAAAATGGTAATTTTAAAATTGATGATTTTATTATTTAATATATTTTTATTTAATAGGAATTAAGATATAATTTAGAACTAAAAGATTTTTCTACATTAGAACAGTTTATGAGTAATTATGAGAAGAATACCTTTTCAAATTATTATATCTCCCGTTCTAAGCCTCATCATGATCCAATATATAAATATAAAACATTAACATACAATTGCAAAAGAGGAGGTCGGATTTTCAAATCTAGTTCAACAGGCTTAAGAGAAAAGAGAACCTTTAAACAAGGGTGCAATAGCAAAGTTATTTTTAAACTTAAACCTAATGAAAATGGATTCAGATTTGTGTTAGAAAGATTTTATATGATAATGAAATCCCAAAGATAAGTTAATATATATATCAATTTTACATTTATTAATCATATATTATAGGTCAAAATTTACCTACCATAGCTGCTTCTTCCTGTATTGCTGAAACAAGTTATTACACCAACCATTTAAAAATTTTTTTTAATTATAGATCAAATTTTAGTCAACACAGGTGATTCTTTTCCTATTGCTGAAACAAGTTATTATACCAATCATAATATTTCTCTAATGAAAGATTATAGATATTTTAGTCAACACAGGTGATTCTTCTCCTATTGCCGAAACAAGTTATTATACTAACCATTTTAAATTTTCTCTAATGAATTATTATAGGTCAAATTTTAGTCAACACAGGTGATTCTTCTCCTATTGCCGAAACAAGTTATTATACTAACCATTTTAAATTTTCTCTAATGAATTATTATAGGTCAAATTTTAGACAACACAGGTGATTCTTTTCCTATTGCTGAAACAAGTTATTATACCAATCATATTAATTTTTCTCTAATGAATGTTTATAGGTCAAATTTTGGAGGTCATAAGTGATTCTTCCTGTATTCCTAGAATTTCAAGTAAATGTTTTATTTATTATAGATCTATTATCATCAGCTCATTATTCTTCTCAAAAAGGATTAATTTCAGATAAAAATTCATTAGTTTTACAAGAATTGGATAAGAATATAATGAAAAATATTAGAATGCCCATAAATTACAAACGAGGATCAATACACAAAAGGCCTAAAAAATGCAAAAAAAGAGTATTATTTAAAAATTATAAAATATTTCATAGTTATCAAATTTTGAAAATGTCATTATAATATACATGTATTTTAAAAAAAGATTTTTCCCAAGCTAATCAAAATATGACTGAAACGATTAACCTACCAGCTTCCAATACAGAAAACACTCAACTATGTGGTATCATTAAAAATTAAATGTTTATTGTTTATTAAAATACATTAGCAATCAAATTATCTTCATCTCAAATTATTTCAAAAAATATTTTAGGCACTCAAGTTAAGATACCAGAGAGTAAACATTTTACTTTTCTATATTAAATATAACAAAAAAATAGCAACAAACTTATATTCCCAATATCATTTTCAAAATATACCTAAAAATTTAGGCCCTATGTCAAGAACTATTCCAGATAGTATATTTTGTGTTTTAATTTTTATTAAATATAAAATACATTAGTAATCAAATTATCTTCATCTCAAATTATTTCAAAAAATATTTTAGGCACTCAAGTTAAGATACCAGAGAGTAAACATTTTACTTTTCTATATTAAATATAACAAAAAAATAGCAACAAACTTATATTTGCAATATCATTTTCAAAATATACCTAAAAATTTAGGCCCTCAGTCAAAAACTATTCCAGCTAGTATATTTTGTGTTAATTTTTATTATATATAAAATAAAAATAGCATTCGAATTCTCTTCATCTCAAAATATTTCAAAAAATATCTTAGGCACTCAAATTAAGCTACCAAATAGTTAACATTTTTAATAAAACAAATAGTTTATATTTAGAATGTTTATATTAAATTTAAAATATATAGGAAACAAATACAATCTAATAGAGCTTCCAGAAAACAATACAATCTAATAGAGCTTCCAGAAAACAATACAATCAAGATTTCAAAAACCTAATAAAAAGCAATTTATATTGTATTCTATTATATCAAATTTTATTTCTGTATATATATTTACAATTATACTATATATAATACATAATTTTAATTATATATATATAGAATTATAATATATTATTGTATTCTTACAAATTTTATTTCTATATATTTCTAAAATATAGAATAAAAAATATAAAATAGATTCTTGTGTTATAAATAACAAACATTCAATATTTTTGACAAAAAAAACAATAAAAATAATTCTTTATGTTAAATTATATTGTTTAAGATATATTCATAGGAGGATTCATAGAATAGTTTTTTGCAATGCCTGATAACCATTAAAAATAATATATAAATTACACAATTTAATAAATATTAAAATAAAGTAAATTTTTAGGTTTGAATGATTTAAACAAAGTATTAAACAGGTTGTGAAAATCCTATAAATAGAAATAATAGGGGTAACATAATTAGCAAAGTTAAAAAAATAATACCATATTTGGGATTTGATTAAGAAATCTGTCAACCATGTCTTAAAGCTAACAAAAATATTTTACTTTTATATATAAAATATCAAACTGAATAAATATTATTTAGTAAATTTTGATATTACATTCACCTTACATGATTAAAATAAAAAATTGTATTTATAAATCTTAGAACATTAAGCTTAGGCCATGCATCTATATAAATATGAAAAGCGTAACAAGTCTGGTGTACCAGGATATATAGGTTGTTTTACATTATTAGCATTAATTTTTTTTAAAGTTATTAAATGAATATTATGAAGATAAATTGCATGAAGGTTAATTTATATAATGAAATATTATATTTTTAATAGTATAAGATTTTAATAAAAACCTAATTAATGATTAAACATATATTCAACTAAGATATGCATGTAATATATTTGAAAAATTTCAATCTGGGTTATAAATTGTGGTCCATACTATATTACTCATAAACTGTTCTAATGTAGAAAAATCTTTTAGTTCTAAATTATATCTTAATTCCTATTAAATAAAAATATATTAAATAATAAAATCATCAATTTTAAAATTACCATTTTTTCCATTATATAAAAAAAATAAGTAAAAAAAAATTTTATTTAAAAAATTTATTAAATAATAAAACAATATTTTTTCCATTAGATAAAAAAAATTTATTAAAAAAAAATAATAAACAACTTTTTTTTAATATTTTCAATACGCTTGTTTTTTTTTCTTTAACAAATAAATATTAAAAAAAAGTTGTTTATTATTTTTTTTTAATAAATTTTTTTTTACCTATTTTTTTTATCTAATGGAAAAAATATTGTTTTATTATTTAATAAATTTTTTAAATAAAATTTTTTTTTACTTATTTTTATCTAATGGAAAAAATGGTAATTTTTAAATTGATGATTTTATTATTTAATTTATTTTTATTTAATAGGAATTAAGATATAATTTAGAACTAAAAGATTTTTCTACATTAGAATAGTTTATGAGTAATTATGAGGAGAATACCTTTTCAAATTATTATATTTAAAACATATTCCAATAGTATGGACCACAATTTATAACCCAGATTGAAATTTTTCAAATATATTAGCACATGCATATCTTAGAAATATTCATGAAAAGTTATTAATCTAAATATTGTTAAATATTTTTATAGATGTTGAGGAATTTAACATTATTCTCAAACAATAGGGCCAATTAATGGGATAATTGAATGTCTTATTTAATCATGAATTAAATTTTTATTATAATCTTTTGATACTATTAAAAATGTAATATTTCATTATATAAATAACCTTCATGCAATTTTGTCATAATATTCATTTAATAAATTTAAAAAAATTAATGTTAATAAAGTAAAACAACCTATATATCCTGGCAGGGGAGACCGTGGATGGTTGGGACACTTTTCGTTCAAACCTTAATAATTTTAATATTAATAGACTAATCTGAATATTTAAAACATCTTCTGAATCCCAGAAGTATAGGCTATTTGAAATAATTAATATATATTTTATGAAGATTATATTTTTTTAGAAAATTAAATTTAAAAAAAAAAATTTGTTTTGTCCCAACTATGACAGACTCTGTGTACGTTGGGACACACATATGTGATAGTTGGGACACTCGTGAAATAGAGGTCTAAATAAATTTAAAAATTTAAAATCAGTAATCCAGTAAGACTAGAGACTATGACACATATGATTTTATTGATAATATTGTAATTCATAATCAATAATTATATAAAAAAAAAATTAGCAAAATTTAGGAAATTTATTTTGGGGAAAAAAAAATTGTAAAGAAAAAAATGTAAAAAAATTTTTTTTTAATAATAAACATAGCGAAAGATAAGTATTTAATTATTCATTATTCACAATACTAAATTAATAATAAATTTGTTTATAAAATGAGCTAAAATGGCGTATCCCAACTATACTATGACCAACTATGACCGAGCCCACTAACTTTATAAATATCATCCAAAATAATATTAATTCATGTTTATTGATTCTGAAAGTTTGCCAGATTGGAAAATAGGGTTTAGGCTTTCCTAAAATCTATTTATTATTATTTTTGAAGCTTTATTTATAAATATAAACGATAAAGTTTGCAAATATTTTTTATTACTTTTGGTATGCCATAACACCTATTCTTCTGTAAAAATTAAAATACTAAATATTTTTCAAATCTTTTTTAGCCAATGATGTATGACAAAATTATCTATGTTAGGCTCAAATTTCCAGTCTTATAAAATAATAGCTCAAATTATAATTAGAATGTCCTAACATTCCCCTGTACTCAATGTATCCCGGTCTCCCCTACACCAGACTTGTTACGCTTTCCATATTTATATAGATGCATGGCCTAAGCTTAATTTTCTAAGATTTATAAATACAATTTTTTATTTTAATCATGTAAGGTGAATGTAATATCAAAATTTACTAAATAATATTTATTCAGTTTGATATTTTATATAAAAAGTAAAATATTTTTGTTAGCTTATTAAGACATGGTGACAGATTTCTTAATCAAATCCCAAATATGCTATTATTTTTTTACATAACATAAAAATAAATTGGCTGAAAGATACTAAAATAAATTGCAAGGGACTTGTGAAAAACATGAACATCAATGGCTACAGCTTATTCTTATACCATTGAATTAAAATCCAGGAAAGGCTTCAAATTTTTATCTCTTCAATAAATTGTTTCAAATAATTCTTAATTTTATAACTTTGCTAATTATGTTACCCCTATTTCAATTAGATAAAAAAAATACGTAAAAAAAAATTTATTTTTTTTAATATTTAAAAAATATATTAAATAATAAAAGCATCAATATTTTTTCCATTAGATAAAAAGAATACGTAAAAAAAAATTTATTAAAAAAAAATAATAAACAACTTTTTTTTAATATTTATTTGTTAAAGAAAAAAAACAAGCGTGTTGAATAAAAAAATAAAATAACTTTATATGACACCATTTATTGCTGTTAAATAAAGGCGTCCATATAAAGCGGACCCGAACCTGAAAAGTGTCCACACATTGTAATCAGCTGTAGCGCCATTTTGTAGTTTGGTTCATTATTTGTCAGCAAGAAATATTAGAAAACAAGGAACGCCTTTATTTAACAGCAATAAATGGTGTCATATAAAGTTATTTTATTTTTTTATTCAACCAACACGCTTGTTTTACAAACAAATATTAAAAAAAAGTTGTTTATTATTTTTTTTAATAAATTTTTTTTTACGTATTTTTTTAATAAATTTTTAAACGTATTTTTTTTAAAAATTTTTTTACGTATTTTTTTTATCTAATGTGGAAAAAATGGTAATTTTAAAATAGGTCCGTGAAGTTCGCCCCGCAATTTTTGATTTTCAATGGTTTATCAGTTGGTGTGATTAGTACCCGATTTGTACCGTTTTCAGTTCGATTTGTACCATCACCGTTTTCCAGCTATTGACCGTTGAAAATATGGCGCCAAAAATAAAAAACACTCAACATTTATATTTTTAAAAATTTTTTAACGTACAACGGTAGAGAATTTTTTTCTCTTCCTAATGATGCCTCAAATTAAGCTTTATCTTCATTATTTATTTCGGAAATCAAATTTTAAACCTTATATTATATCGTGAAGTTAGCCCCCCCCAATATTCAAAATTTGAGATTTTCAAATTTTTAAAACGGGATTGATTTGTACCCGATTTGTACCGTTTCAAACTCGATTTGTACCATTACTGTTTTCCAGCTATTGACCGTTAAAGATATGGCGGAAAAAATATAAAACACTCAACATTTTTTTTTTTAATTTTTTTAACGTACAACGGTAGAGAATTTTTTTCTCTTCCAAATGATGCCTCAAATTAAGCTTTATCTTCAGTATTTATTTCGGAAATCAAATTTTAAACCTTATATTATGGCGTGAAGTTAGCCCCCCCCAATATTCAAAATTTGAGATTTTTCAAATTTTTAAAACGAGATTGATTTGTACACGATTTGCACCGTTACAAACTCGATTTGTACCATTACCGTTTTCCAGCTATTGACCGTTAAAGATATGGCGCCAAAAATAAAAAACACTCAACATTTATTTTTTTTAAAAATTTTTTAACGTACAACGGTAGAGAATTTTTTTCTCTTCCTAATGATGCCTCAAATTAAGCATTATCTTCATTATTTATTTCGGAAATTAAATTTTAAACCTTATATTATAGCGTGAAGTTAGCCCCCCCCCCTCCAATATTCAAAATATGAGATTTTCCAAATTTTTAAAACGGGATTGATTTGTACCCGATTTGTACCGTTTCAAACTCGATTTGTACCATTACCGTTTTCCAGCTGACCGTTAAAGATATGGCGCCAAGGTTTAAAATTTGATTTCCGAAATAAATAATAAAGATAAAGCATAATTTGAGGCATCATTAGGAAGAGAGAAAAATTCTCTACCGTTGTACGTTAAAAAATTTTTTTAAAAAATAAATGTTGAGTGTTTTATATTTGTGGCGCCATATCTTTAACGGTCAATAGCTGGAAAACGGTAATGGTACAAATCGAGTTTGTAACGGTACAAATCAATCCCGTTTTAAAAATTTAAATATTGGGGGGGGGGCTAACTTCACGCTATAATATAAGCTTTAAAATTTGATTTCCGAAATAAATAATGAAGATAAAGCTTAATTTGAGGCATCATTAGGAAGAGAGAAAAATTCTCTACCGTTGTACGTTAAAAAATTTTTTTGTTTTATATTTTTGGCGCCATATCTTTAATGGTCAATAGCTGGAAAACGGTAATGGTACAAATCGAGTTTGTAACGGTACAAATCGGTACAAATCAATCCCGTTTTAAAAATATGAAAAATCTCAAATTTTGAATATTGGGGGGGGGGGGGGGCTAATGTCACGCTATAATATAAGCTTTAAAATTTGATTTCCGAAATAAATAATGAAGATAAAGCTTAATTTGAGTAGGAAGAGAGAAAAATTCTCTACCGTTGTACGTTAAAAAATTTTTTAAAAAAATTAATGTTGAGTGTTTTATATTTTTGGCGCCATATCTTTAACGGTCAATAGCTGGAAAACGGTAATGGTACAAATCGAGTTTGTAACGGTACAAATCAATTCCGTTTTAAAAATTTGAAAAATCTCAAATTTTGAATATTGGGGGGGGGGGCAGTGGCGTAGCTAAGAATTTTCCTTAGAGGGGGTCCACATATAAAAGCATGGGGGGCTTCGCCCCCCAGACCCCCTTTTATGGGATTCGGCCCTTTGCCCGGCCTTCGGCCGGGTTTATCTTAAAAATCATATTGGTTTTTCTTATAATATAAAAGTCCTAGAATTATTAATTATTTTAATTAGTCTTGTTAAACGGCTCGACTTGAGCTGATTTTTATAAACAGCTAACTCAATATTTTTGCCAAAAATTATTGTTCAAGCCTAGAGATTTCTCGAATAATATAAAACTTGTATCTCCATGAGCAAAATTTTCTGGCTAATATATTGAGTTAGTCATATCGGCTAAAATTGAGCCATTAACCACTAATTTTAATTAAAATAACACATTGACATAATTTTAATTAAAATAACACATTGACACAATTTTATTGATATACGTTTCATTTTATTATACTTTTAGAAGTTATTTACAAATAAAAGCGATTATTTAAAATATAAATATTATATTGATTTAATTATAAATATTATATTGCTATAATTATAAATATTATGCTTTAATTATAAATATTATATTGCTTTAATTATAAATATTATATTGCCTTAATTATAAATGATATATTTTATAATTAGTAAACACATTAAAAATATAGATTAAAAATAAATGTTTTTTTTAAACTGTAAATTTAAGTCGATATCCTTCAAAGTGAAAAAATCAAAATTATGTTGGCAATATTTTTTTACCAATATATGATAGATGTATAAAATTAATATTGAGAAACCTAGGCTAATAATCATAGATGACATGTTAGCTTTGGAACCAACTTTTGATTATTATAAGTATAAAGTAATAGACTATATCACTTGTAGTAGGTGATGGTTCTAAATGATCTAGTATAATTGGTTGTCTATTAACCCTTAGGTTTCTGGAGTATGTGGGAATTGCTAAGATTTTAAATAAATATAATTTAATAAAGACTAATACCTGACATGAGTGGAACTTCATTTCCATTTAAATTCTCCCTAGATTTTTTAGATATATCTAAAATTTTAATGTAAATATTAATAAGTAATTGATTACATTACATTTATTAGATAGTGATTTGTTGTGACTTAGTGTATTTTTTTGTTTGTTATCACTATTTTTTTACCCCTTGGTGTGAATATTAATTGAGATATTCCTATAAAAATAAATTAAAATAAAACAACATATTAGATAACCTTTAAATTCTAAATTGATACAGCCTATAATATTTTGTTGACTACTATCATTCTTCTTCAATATGATACTTGATATAGCTAAAATTATGATATAAATATTTAAAGGTAATAGTTAACATTACTTTTACTAGGTAGAGATTTGAAGTGATCAAGTGTATTTAGCTTATTTTTATCATAATTTTTTATAGAGTATCTAGGTATTTCTAAAATTTAAATGAATACATTTAAATAAGGTCATATAAGTTCATAAAATACCTGAGGTGAGTGGTAAATTGTTGCTTATGGTATCAAGTTCATCATTAAAATTCTGATTTTCTATATTAATTGGTGATTCATTTAAATAAGGTCATTATAAAATACCTGATGTGGGTGGTAAATTGTTGCTTATGGTATCAAGTTCATCATTAAAATTTTGATTTTCTATATTAATTAGTGATTCATTTAAATAAGGTCATTATAAAATACCTGATGTGGGTGGTAAATTGTTGCTTATGGTATCAAGTTCATCATTAAAATTTTGATTTTCTATATTAATTAGTGATTTGGTGTGTTCATTTTGTTGACTATCATCATTTTTATTAAATGTAATACTTGATATATCTAAATCTATAATAAAAAATATTTAAATCTTAATAGATTATATTACTTGTACTAGGTAGTGATTTTATATGGTCTTTGGGTATATAAATGAGTGTATCAAGATCATTTTCTTCCCTCCTACGTTTGGGTATATCTTATAAATGTCAAAATATTTTGGTTAGCCAAAATTATTTAAAATAATAAATTACCCAAAGTGGTTTGTACTGGCAATTTTAATTTAGTTAAAACTATGACTAGGTGTTTAATTTTAAATTCTAAAATAAAAATAGTTAGCTATTAATTTTAAATATTTTTTATATTAAATGTTATTTTGACCTGGTGTATTTACATCATCCTTATTATTTTCAATAGAGCCTATAATGCATAAGATATTAATTAGTACACTGGATTAAATATTTTTTAACCTCAAAAGCATGAGAAAGTAGATTATGCACTATTTTATTTCATATTATTATTTTCGAACCATATCTTCGATAAATTATAATAAATATTTTTTTAAATATGCATAAATAATATATTATTATAATTTATTAGATTATTATCAATGACTTTAAAATAATATACAGAATAATTTTTATATATATAAAAGTAATAATATCCTTCCACAAACATCAAAACCAGAAAAATATAAATATTCATGGTATTTATTTGATATAAAGTCACTTTTGAGTCTTTTAAACGAATATTCTAAAAAAAAAATTGCTCTGGGGGGGAGTGGGGGGGGGGTCCAAACCCGAAACCCCCCCCCCGTAGCTACGCCACTGGGGGGGGGGGCTAACTTCACGCTATAATATAAGGTTTAAAATTTGATTTCCGAAATAAATAATAAAGATAAAGCTTAATTTAAGGCATCATTTGGAAGAGAAAAAAAATTCTCTACCGTTGTACGTTAAAAAAATTTAAAAAAAAATAAATGTTGAGTGTTTTATATTTTTGGCGTCATATCTTTAACGGTCAATAGCTGGAAAACGGTAATGATACAAATCGAGTTTGAAACGGTACAAATCGGGTACAAATCAATTCCGTTTTAAAAATTTGAAAAATCTCAAATTTTGAATATTGGGGGGGGGGGGGCTAACTTCACGCTATAATATAAGGTTTAAAATTTGATTTCCGAAATAAATAATGAAGATAAAGCTTAATTTGAGGCATCATTAGGAAGAGAAAAAAATTATCTACCGTTGTACGTTAAAAAATTTTTAAAAATATAAATGTTGAGTATTTTTTATTTTTGGCGCCATATTTTCAACGGTCAATAGCTGGAAAACGGTGATGGTACAAATCGAACTGAAAACGGTACAAATCATTCTCTGTCGACCTATTCACTTTTTATTTTTAAGTTCAAAAGTTGGGGGGCTGTCGTGAAGTTGACCCCCCATTTTGTTCTTAGAATATCTCAAAAACGGTGATGGTACAAATCGAACTGAAAACGGTACAAATCGGGTACTAATCACACCAACTGATAAACCATACGGACCTTTTTAAAATTGATGCTTATTTAATATATTTTTATTTAATAGGAATTAAGATATAATTTAAAACTAAAAGATTTTTCTACTTTAAAACAGGTTGTGAGTAATTATGAGAAGAATAATCATCAGCTCATTATTCTTCTCAAAAAGGATTAATTTCAGATAACATTAGTTTTACAAGAATGGGATATAAATATAATAAAAAATATTAAAATGCCCATAAAATACAAACGAGGATCAATACACAAAAGGCCTAAAAAAATGCAAAAAAAGAGTATTATTTAAAAATTATAAAATATTTCACAGTTAGCAATTTTTGAAAATGATATTATAATATACATATATTTTAAAAAAAGATTTTTCCCAAGCTAATCAAAATATGACTGAAACGATTAACCTACCACATTCCAATACAGAAAACACTCAACTATATGCTGTCACTAAAAATTAAATGTTTATTGTTTATTAAAATACATTAGCAGTCAAATTATCTTCATCTCAAATTATTTCAAAAAATATGTTAGGCACTCAAGTTAAGATACCAGAGAGTAAACATTTTACTCAACAAAAAAATAGCAACAAACTTATATTCCCAATATCATTTTCAAAATATACCAAAAAATTTAGGCCCTCAGTCAAAAACTATTCCAGCTAGTATATTTTGTGTTTTAATTTTTATTAAATATAAAATAAAAATAGCATTCGAATTCTCTTCATCTCAAAATATTTCAAAAAATATCTTAGGCACTCAAATTAAGCTACCAAATAGTAAACATTTTTCCTTTATTTTATATAACAAAAATTATAGCAACCAAAACTTTAGACTACACTGGATATTCTCTTCAAAATCTTTCAAAATTTTTTTAGGAAACCATAAATAAAACAAATAATTATATATTAAGAATATTTATATTAAATTTAAAAATATATAGGAACCATATACAATCTAATATAGCTTCCAGAAAATAATACAATATTATTTCAAAAACCTAATAAAAAGCAATTTATAATTTATATTGTATTCTAATATATCAAATTTTATTTCTGTATATATATTTACAATTATAATATATTATTGTATTTTATAATACATAATTTTAATTATATTATATATATAGAATTATAATATATTATTGTATTCTTACAAATTTTATTACTATATATATATTTTCAATATATTTCTAAAATATAGAATAAAAAATATAAAATAGATTCTTGTGTTATAAATAACAAACATTCAATATTTTTGACAAAAAAACAATAAAAATAATTCTTTATGTTGAATTATATTGTTTAAGATATATTCATAGGAGGATTCATAGAATAGTATTTTGCAATGCCTGATCACCATTAAAAATATTATAAGAATTACACAATATAATAAATATTAAAATAAAGTAAATTTTTAGGTTTGAATGATTTAAACAAAGTATAAAACAGATTATGAAAATCCTCTAAATAGAAATATTAGGAGTAACATAATTAGCAAAGTTATAATATTAAGAATTATTTAAAACAATTTATTGAAGAGATCAAAATTTGAAGCCTTTCCTAAATTTTCAATGACATAAGAATAAGCTGTAGACATTGATGTTCATGTTTTTCACAAGTCCCTTGCAATTTATTTTAGTATCTTTCAGCCAATTTATTTTTATGTTTTATAAAAAAATAATAGCATATTTGGGATTTGATTAAGAAATCTGTCACCATGTCTTAATAAGCTAACAAAAATATTTTACTTTTATATATAAAATATCAAACTGAATAAATATTATTTAGTAAATTTTGATATTACATTTACCTTACGATTAAAATAAAAAATTGTATTTATAAATCTTAGAACATTAAGCTTAGGCCATGCATCTATATAAATATGAAAAGCATAACAAGTCTGGTGTACCAGGATATATAGGTTGTTTTACTTTATTAACATTATATGACAAAATTGTATGAAGGTTAATTTATATAATGAAATATTACATTTTTAATAGTATCAAAAGATTATAATAAAAACATAATTCATGATTAAATAAGACATTCAATTAATCCCATTAATTGACCCTATTGTTTGGGAATATTGTTAAATTCCTCAACATCTATAAAAAAATTTAACAATTGGAATATAAATGTTTTAAATATAATAATTTGAAAAGGTATTCTTCTCATAATTACTCACAAACTGTTTTAAAGTAGAAAAAAATATAATAATTTGATAAGGTATTCTTCTCATAATTACTCACAAACTGTTTTAAAGTAGAAAAATCTTTTAGTTCTAAATTATATCTTAATTTCTATTAAATAAAAATATATTAAATAAGCATCAATTTTAAAATTACTATTTTTCCATTAGATAAAAAAAATACGTAAAAAAATTTATTAAAATACGTAAAAAAAAATTTATTAAAATACGTAAAAAAAAATTTATTAAAAAAATAGGTTACTGCCACTCTCTGGGGGTATATTATTTTTTTTTTAATTTATTTTTTTTTGCTATTTTTTTATGTTATTTTTTTTGTTATTTTTTTTATGTTATTTTTTTATGATATTTTTTTATATTTTTTTTTATCAATTTTTTATTAAGTTATATTTTTGAGAATTTTGCATACAAATTTAATTTTTTTGTGGTAAAATTTAGGAATTATTAATTCCGCATATTTAAGTTATATTTAGGAGAATTTTGCATACAAATTTATTTTTTTTGTGGTAAAATATAGGAATTATTAATTCCGCATATTTAAGTTATATTTAGGAGAATTTTGCATACAAATTTAATTTTTTTTGTAGTAAAATATTTAAATTATTTTTATAGGAGAATTTTGCCTACAAATTATATTTTTTATTTAGGTCTACAAATTTTTATTGACCCCACCTTTGAAGTTTAAGTGATTTTTAACCTTTCTAGTGAAGAGTTAAATCGAAATATAGTATTAAATGACGCAATTAAATATAGTATTCAAATTTATACACGATATATAGTATTAAATACTCAATTTTATTCATTGAATAAATATATTATTAAAGTTAATACAATCATTTATAAAATGAATGAAAATGTCAGAACGATTTAACAATTTATATTTTCTAAAATATCAATATTCAAGAAGATATTCATGAATATAATCGCGATCCCCATGTCTTTTGTAGTTTGTTTTTAGATCCCGCCACAGCCTTTCGACATTTTGGGTGTGGATGGATCTGTCATTAGGATCAAAAAAATTTCGAGAATGAATGACCCATTACCTACCCCCTCTCTCCCCCATATATAAACGATGCGGAATTAAGAATTTCTATATTTTTTTACCCCTAATACAACATTTTGTAGAAAAAATAATTTAAATATTTTACCACAAAAAAAATTAAATTTGTATGCAAAATTCTCCTAAATATAATCTAAATATGCGGAATTAATAATTCCTATATTTTACCACAAAAAAAATTAAATTTGTATGCAAAATTCTCTTAAATATGCGGAATTAATAATTCCTATATTTTACCACAAAAAAAAATTAAATTTGTATGCAAAATTCTCTTAAATATAACTTAAATATGCGGAATTAATAATTAATATATTTTACCACAAAAAAAATTAAATTTGTATGCAAAATTCTCCTAAATATAACTTAAATATGCGGAATTAATAATTCCTATATTTTACCACAAAAAAAATTAAATTTGTATGCAAAATTCTCAAAAATATAACTTAAAAATAAAAAATTGATAAAAAAAAATATCATAAAAATAAAAATTGATAAAAAATATCATAAAAAAATATCATAAAATAATAACATAAAAAAATAACATAAAAAAAATAACATAAAAAAAATAACATAAAAAAATAAAATAAAAAAATAAAATAAAAATAATATACCCCCCGAGAGTGGCAGTAACCAAAAAAAATAATAAACAACTTTTTTTTAATATTTGTTTGTTAAAGAAAAAAAAACAAGCGTGTTGAATAAAAAAATAAAATAACTTTATGACACCATTTATTGCTGTTAAATATTGGCGTTCGAAAACAAGTCTACTATGATTTAGTTTTAAAGGTTTCGATTTATGATATAATATTTTATAGTATCTTTTGTTCTTAAATTTTCATAAGATTTTAAGGTGGACTAGGTGATTATATTTAAAAAATGAATCTCAGACTAACCCACCTTTTAATTTTTTAAAATATAGTTTAACTAATCCTCCATGGACTTATAAATCTTATGTTAATGCATGTTAGGATACATAAAACAGATCTTTTAATATCACTAGCATTTATTATTTTATTTAGATAATGGGAGTGTGCTGTGTTCATAATTGTAATAAAACAAATAAAATAGAATCTAATACACATATTTCTTATCACTCACATGTATATATATTATTTTTTATATGCAACATATTTATTACATAAAGCATTATTATGCTACAAACATTTTAAAAATTCCTTATTTAGTAAAAATATAAAGTTTTCTCATTTTTATTGCTAGGACAAATAATGCTTCTTCCTCTTGAGTTGATAAGATTTCTATTTTGAACTTTGCCTAAGTTAGCCATTTTTAAAATACATATTTACTCTGATACAGTTTCATTTTAAATATTTGTAAAAAATATGTAAACCATCTATATAATAATAAAGGATCTACCAATCAACAAATTTTCACTGATCCAATACTATATTACTAATAACTGATCTGATATTTATATTGATTTTTATATACTATCTATCTTTGTATCAATGTCATAAATATATCTTATATTTTACTCATTATTATTCACCTATTTTTAAATATAGATTTCCATTAAAATCCAAAGAATTATTGGAAAAATGGTTGCAGGCTATAAATAGAAAAATTTTTATGCCTAATAAATATAGTATTATTTGTGGAAGGCATTTTAAAAATACTTGTTTCATTCATACTTTATACGGAAAGATTTTATTGAAGGAAGATTTAATTCCATCGATATTTAGTATATCTAAGCCACTTCATGATGTATGTTAACAATATCATTACATAGTTATAATAATATTTTAAAATAACATACAAACACCATTAAAAAGTGATATATTATATGAAAATGATCTAATTTTATACATATAACAAATGATCATAATTATTCCGCGACATATGAAACATTAAAAAGAAAAATTATTTACCAAGAGGCTATAATTAAACGCTTAAAAAAAGGCACATGCTTATTATAGGAGCTCAAAAAGAAGAAGGAATAAAATAATCAATTTACAAACAATAAACACTTCACTAAAAGATGAAAATTTGTTATCAGATGATGTCGAAAATATTATATAGGCACTTTACAAGGACATCTTCTATATTCCTTAAAACACATATACACAGTGGAGGCATCTCAAACTCACAAAAAAAATATATACAGGTGAATTCCGTCAATTTGCATTGACTATGCATTTTTATTCACCTAAGGCTTACAGATATCTCAAATCACACTTTTGTGTGCCTTCGGAATCCACATTAAGGGCATGGATTCGTAAGATTGAAATCATGCCAGGTTTATTATAATAATTTTAAAAAAAATTAATTAAATTAAATAAAGGTTGCCTTTCTATTTCATTTACCCAAATTAAATGCTACCAAAAAAAATCAGAAAAGCAGTTGTATTGCGTACTTAGCCTTGATGAAATGCATATTAAAACACAAATAGATTATGACCTCCACAAAGCAGAATATCATGGTTATGTTGATTTAGGTGATGGGACAAAATCAACAAAGGAAGATAAATCTTGTCCAGAAGCAACAAAGGCACTGTTTCTTATGGCTACCTGTCTTAATAGCAGCTGGAAAATGCCAATAGCCTATTTTCTAGTTTCACAAATGAATTCAGATATCCTAG